ACTGGGAGGAAGGAGATAAAGGCCGAGGAGGGGCTGCTGTGGACACTCTGCCATGTGGGAAGAGGGAAAGCAGACCCCAAGTCCCAGATGAATCTTAATTCCACCACTAATTAATCCCCATGTGACCACAGGCAGGACACTAGGGACTTCAATTTTCTTTTCTTCATCCTGGGAAAGGGAGGCCTTGCCTTGCTTACCTCAGAGTTGTTGAGGGACTCAAAGGAGATATGGGGAGAAGGTGACTTAAGAAGCTAATGCAGGCTGGGCACAGTGGCTCACGCCTGTGATCCTAGCACTTTGGGAGGCCGAGGCAGGCAGATCCCCTGAGACCAGGAGTTCGAGACCAGCCTGGCCAACATAGTGAAACCCTGTCTCTTCCAAAAATATAAAAATTAGCCGGGCCTAGTGGTGGGCATCTGTAATCCCAGCTACTCACAAGACTGAGGCAGGAGAATCGCTTGAACCTGGGAGGCGGAGGTCGCAGTGAGCCGAGATCGCACCACTGCACTCCAGCCTGGGCAACAGAGCAAGACTCCATCTCAAATAAATAAATAAATAAATAGCAGAATATAAATGCTAGAGACTAGCCCTTTATCTTCATCTTTTCTTTTCATTTCTTTGTGTGTGTGTGTGTGTGTGTGTGAGACAGTTTCTCTCTTTTTGCCCAGGCTGTTAGTGCAATGGTGCCATCTCAGCTCACTGCAACCTCCACCTCCCCAATTCAAGCAATTCTCCTGCCTCAGCCTCCAGAGTAGCTGGGATTACAGGCATGTGCCACCACACCTGGCTAATATTTTGTATTTTTAGTTGAGATAGGGTTTCTTCATGTTGGTCAGGCTGGCCTCAAACTCCCAACCTCAGTTGATCTGCCCACCTTAGCCTCCCAAAGTGCTGAGATTACAGGCGTGAGCCAGTGTGCCTGGCAAGACTAGCTTTTTTAATTAAGAATTTTGTCAGGCCGGGCACGGTGGCTCAAGCCTGTAATCCCAGCACTTTGGGAGGCCGAGGCGGGTGGATCACGAGGCCAAGAGATCGAGACCATCCCGGTCAACATGGTGAAACCCCTTCTCTACTAAAAATACAAAAAACTTAGCTGGGCATGGTGGCGCATGCCTGTAATCCCAGCTACTCAGGAGGCTGAGGCAGGAGAATTGCTTGAACCCAGGAGGCGGAGGCTGTGGTGAGCCGAGAACGCGCCATTGCACTCCAGCCTGGGTAACAAGAGCGAAACTCCGTCTCAAAAAAAAAAAAAAAAAAAAGGAATTTTGTCTAAGACCATTGGGAGACTTTTTTTGTGATGTAAGGCCAGGCTAGAGCAGCAGTGACTTGCCATGGGCTAGGAGGAGACATTTAGGAAGAGTCTCAAGGTCCTGCTCATCCTCTTGCTTTGCCCTTAGAGAGCAGCAGCCATTCTGGACTAAGTACGTAAGAAAGGTTACCTTGTTTGGACCTCGCAATACTACCTCTCCCCATTCTCCAGATGGGAACATGGAGAAAAAAAGAAGTTAAGTGCTAGCAGGTATCAGAGGTGGGGTTAAAACCAAGCTCTAGGTTGCTTGTTCGATGATATTCAGAGTTTCCATGCAGGATGTCCTGAGGCTTGATCTCTTGGCCGAGGACTCATTATTTCTGGATAATTGCAGACATCTTCTTAGTCCCACCCACATTTGACTGACAGCCCTCACCAACCCTAGGGCACGGGAGTACTGGGTTTGATGGATGGGGTTGGTGCTGGAGCCTTGATTTCTAAATCCTCTCCCACCTGTGAAGTGTAGGCTGTGCCATGAGGAGATGGGATTGCATGACTGACAACAGATACCATGTACCCAGGGGCCTGGATACCTGTGTGGAGTCACTAGCCCTGGACCCTCCTCTGCCCACGCCAGCTGTTCCCCTGTTTGGGCGCAGGCCCAGTGCTTGCCTGGTGCTCCTTAACCAAGTCAACAGGCTTGCCCTCCCTGGCTGTTTCTAAAAACATTCACCTGCTGGCAGCCACCCAGAGAGTATAAGGAGGCTGGCTGGCCGCTCCAGGTCTCACACAGATCCATCCTTGCTCACTATCCTGCAGTAGACAGACAAACAGGACCCCAGCCAGCCCCTGTCCAGGCAGCATGGTGAGCAGAAAGGGCCTGGTGGAGGGGAGGGGGCTGAGCATGCAAGTAAGAGTCCCAGTGGGCCCAAGCTATCTGGCATGAAGCTATCTGGAGAGTCCAGATGTTGATGGGGCTACAGTATGTGGTAAGGTGGGGAGAGGGAAAGAGACTTCCAGATGTGGCTGTGGTCCCCAAATGTGCAGATGTGGGGGGCATTACAGGGGGTAGGGAAGGAAAGGTCAATGGTAACCAGGATGAGCCTAGGCGCAGGGGCAGGGCTGCTGAGGGGGTCTGAACTTAGGGGCGGGGAGTGTCAGGGAAGCAGGACCTGAGCACAAAGTGTAGGCGCTTTCCTCTGCTGGCTGAGAATCTCCAGACCCTTGGTCTTGCCACAGGTTCACTGTTGGACTGTGGTCCCACCTTCCCACCACAGGGAGACATCCTCCATAGAAGCTTCTCCCCTCTGGTTCCTCCCTCCGCCCTGCCCATCTGCTGTGCCTTTGTCTGACTTCTCATGTTAGTTGCAAATCAGTGGGGAGAGGAAGGAGAGGGAAAAGGGGGTGCTTCTATCTGTCAAGAGCTGGCTGTGCCTGGGGCTCATATGATATCTTTTACTCACCTTCATATCAGGCAGGATAGAAGAACAGTTAAGAGCATGGTTGGTGCCAGGCTGTCCCTGCTCTAAACATTCTTAGTTTTGCTCATGACCTTGAGCAAGCTACTTGACTCCTCTGAGGGTCAATTTCCTCATCTATAAATTGGGGGCAACAAAACTACCTACCTAAGGTGTATGTGGTAAAGATTAAATGAGATAGTGTGTGTAAAGTGCCACCTTCACCTGGCACCTAATTAGTGCTTAACAAGTAGAACTAAGCAACATAACAACACAGCCTGCTGGGTATGAGATTCTTCTCTTTCTAGTCATGAAAAAGGTGCTAGGGAAGCTGAGGTGAAATGACTTGTACTGGGTCACAGAGAGACGGGGGTTTGAGGCCAGGTCTGTGTGACTCCAGAGACTGAGTTCTTTGCCCCAAACCTGCTGCCCCACAGTGTGAGGCCTCATTCCTGGAGAGGCTAGAGACACCTTCCATGGAGTAGCAGTTCTGGGGGCCAGGACAATGTCTGGATCTGTGGACGGTGCTGGCTGGACAGGCTCAGAGGTGTAGCACCAGGCAGGTGATTGGTGAGCCAAGGCAGGCTCGGGACTGGACCCACCTGGGATTTCTCCAGTCCTTGAGGTCTCAGCTCAACTCATTTCTTTTTTCTTTCTTTCTTTTCTTTCTTTCTTTCTTTCTTTCTTTCTTTCTTTCTTTCTTTCTTTCTTTCTTTCTTTCTTTCTTTCTTTCTTTCTTTCTTTCTCTTTCTTTCCTTCCTTCCTTCCTTCCTTCCTTCCTTCCTTCCCTCCCTCCCTCCCTCCCTCCCTTCCTTCCTTCCTTCCATTCTTTCCTTCTTTTAGATGGAGTCTCACTCTGTTGCCTGGGCTTTAGTGCAGTGGTGCAATCTCGGCTCACTGCCACCTCCGCCTCTGGTTTCAAGCAATTCTCCTGTCTTAACCTCCTGAGTAGCTGGGATTACAAGTATGCACCATTTTTGTATTTTTAGTGGAGAGGAGGTTTCACCATGTTGGCCAGGTGGGTCTCTAACTCCTGACCTCAAGTGATCCACACACCTCGGCCTCCCAAAGTGCTGGGATTACAGGTGTGAGCCACTGCACCTGGCCTCAACTCATCAGGGACTGGGGGTGGAAAATTGGAAGGGGAACCCTTGTGTGTATTAGGCAGGGGGCCAGGCACTGCATGCATTCTTTCATTTAATCCTAATAGTTTTTCTAGGAGGGGGCTCTAATTATTGTCCACATTTCAAAAGGAGAACATTGACAAAGAGGTTAAAGACTTTTACTCAAGACAAGTAGAGAAGTAATGGGGCTGGAATAAAGATTATTTATGGATGAATCCCAGTCATCTAAAAATCATGAAAAGTCAAGTCCCTGTGATATTAAAAAATAGTCAGTGAAGTGCTACATTTATGGAGAAGGCACCCTAATTAAAGAATTAAGAAATATTCCAGGAATGCAAAAAGGTATAAAGAATAATGTGATAGGCTGGGCACAGTGGCTCATGCCTGTAATCTCAGCACTTTTGGGAGGCCAAGTCAGGTAGACTGCTTGACCCCAGGAATTTAAGACCTGCCTGGGAAAGATGGCGAGACCTGTCTCTACAAAAAAATTAAAAACTTAGCCAGGCATCGTGGTGCATGCTTGTAGTCCCAGCTTCTTGGGAGGCTGAGATGGGAGGATCCCTTGAGCCCAGGAGTCCGAGGCTGCTACAGTGAGCTGTGATCACATTGCTGTACTCCAGCCTGGGCAACAAAGCGAGAGTCTGTCTCAAGAAAAAAAAAAAAAAAGAATAATATGATGAACAGCAGCTATCAAGCTTACAAAATAGAATCTGTCTCCAATTGCATCTACCTGCTTCCCCTGCCAGAGAACGCCATTATTCCAGATTTGAAGTTAATGGTCTCCTGTGCTTTATCTTTGGACTATTTCCCCTTGCTTCCCTCACCAATGGACACAGGTGGGTTGATTATCTTGCTCTTCTAGATTCATTGGATCCCTTCAATGTTCCTCATCGAGACAGACACTGAGTAAGACTCTATAATCTCATAACTTCCCACATCTTCTGCTTCCCCAAGGAGTTTGGCCTGGACCCTAGAGCCAATGCCTGCTGCTCCTCCATGCCACCAGTAAATGCTTAGACACAGGAGGTGAGGCAAGCAGAGCAGAGTCCAGCAACCTTGGCCCTCAGCCAGAGAGCCACTCAAGGAAGGCAGGCAGGAGCCATGTCCAGGCATGATATGTTTCCCTCTGCCAAGGCCGTTCTCTGCCCTTTGCCCACTCAGTGTGAGTGCATCTCAGTCCACATGGGGCAGGCTGGTGTGCAGATTGGCCACACCTGCTGGGAGCTCTACTGCCTGGAGCATGGGATTCAGCCTGATGGGCAGATGCCCAGTGACAAGATCATCAGGGGAGGGAATGAGGCTTTCTACACCTTTTTTAGTGAAACTGGGGCTGGGAAACAGGTGCCCCAGGCAGTGTTTGTGGATCTAGACCCCACCATGATTATTGAGTGTTGATCAGTCCCAGTCATGACCTTGTCCCTGGGTACCACAGCAAGTCTTACACCATAACTGCAGAGCACTGGAGTTTGTGGTATAGCTTCCCAGTTGCTGCAGTCAATTAGAACTCCAAATGTACAGAATCATCATGTTACTCAGCTCCTGAGTCTGTAGGCCACTCCAGATCCCTTTCTGTGGGAAGTAGAAAAGTTCCTTTTTAAAGTTTCCTTTCTTGTTAAATCATAAGTGTGCTAATAACTTTGTTAAGCCCTATCCTATGTAGCTATTAGATATGCCATGCTTACAGGCATGTAGTGCATTCTATGTCCTTGTACTTTAACCAAGATATCTGTGCTGGACATGTTCACAGGTAGGTCCCAGCTCTCCATTGCTTTTATCTGTTTAGAATAGTTTTGCCAATTGGGTTTTACTTTAGATTGTAAGGTCTGGCTCCAGCCAACGGAGATCAGACACAGCTGTAAGGATGATCCCAAATGTGTAAAAGATAAATTTGTGTGTTTTTCTTTGTTCTTTGTACTCTCATGGCAAGATAGCTAGTGAGAGTTCCCTTCCTGAAGTCTAGGAAGTAAAAATTGTGTTGCTGAAAGATCCTTTGTCTCAGTGCTAATTTTTCTTTGCAGCACCGAGCATCTATTTCCAACATCTATTTCTAATACTTTCCTTATTGAAAAGCACATCCAAGCAGCACACATACATCCAAGCAGATAATAGCAGCAGCCTGAATGCAGAACCTGGGACCTGGTGATCCCACTTCCTTGGGGTACCCTGGGGCTCCAGCAGCTGGATCCCAAAGGGAGGTGGGGCCCAAAACTCTGCCCATTGCCGATGAAGTTCAAACAGGCACATACTGCCGGCTCTTCCATCCAGAGCAGCTCATCACAGGCAAGGAAGATGCTGCCAATAACAATACCCAGGGTCACTACACCATTGGGAAGGAACTCATTGACCTGGTACTGGACTGGATTTGGAAGCCAGTGAGGAAAGGACTGAGGGCTGGGGCAGGGGGGATGACTCTGGATTCCTGTTGTGAGGTAGTCTGGAGACCAGATTGGGGAAGGATAGCTTCAGCCTCCGGTAGAAACACAAAGGATCAGAACCATTGAGGAGAGGCCTTGCACTCTGATCAGGGGGACAACTGTAGGTTCCAGGCTGGAGCTGGTGTCTCCTTTATCTCTGAAGTGGCTGGCCTGGTGCTAGGCAGGGTGTCCATTAAGGCTAACATGTTGATGGGCTGCCTGGCCAAGTTGTGGGGGTCCATAAGCATTTCCAGAACATCACCTTGTGTTACAAGAATGTGGGCAGAAGTCCCTGTGCAAACCAGGGATTCAAAGAACGTCAGCAAAGGCTCTGTGATTGGCTTTGGCTCCTACGAAGGATGGGGATGAGATTCCTGGATTGTTGATCTTAGTAGAGAAGCCCTCCAGAAATATCCAAAGTTAAATCAAGGGGGAATGCATGTGATGGTGGTTGGGGGCAGGTTGGCAAGTTATGATGATGAAAAGATGAGGAAGCCCTGGAGTCCTGTGCACTGGTCAGCCTAGACAGCCAACTCCACCCACCATCACACCCCTCTTTCTCAGTATACAAGAGAGCTGTGTGTTAAGGATCTCAGGAGATTTCAGAGGAAGAGGGACAGGGAGAAGAAAAGCATCCTCACAGGGAGGATCCTCCCTGTGAGGATCTCTTCTGTGCTCTTGGAAAAGTCTTCCGAGGATTTCATGAAACTTTTGGATATTTAAAACAGCACAAGTTGTTTCTTTCCTGTCCATCAGCTGTGCTCCATGCCACATTTCTCCTCCCCTTCAGGGCTTCCTGGTGTTCCACAGCTTTGGCGGGGGCACTGGCTCTGGCTTCACCTCACTCCTGATGGAGCGGCTCTCTGTTGACTATGGCAAGAAATCCAAGCTGGAATTCTCCATCTACCCAGCATCCCAGGTGTCTATAGCTGTGGTCGAGCCCTATAACTCTTATCCTGACCACCCACACCACCCTGGAACACTCAGACTGTGCCTTCATGGTGGACAACGAAGCTATCTATGACATCTGCCGCCGCAACCTAGACATCGAGCGCCCAACCTACACCAACCTCAATCGCCTCATCAGCCAAATCGTCTCCTCCATCACAGCTTCCCTGCGCTTTGACGGGGCCCTCAATGTGGACCTGACAGAGTTCCAGACCAACCTGGTGCCCTACCCTCGCATCCACTTCCCCCTGGCCACCTATGCACCAGTCATCTCTGCAGAAAAGGCATACCATGAGCAGCTGTCGGTGGCCGAGATCACCAATGCCTGCTTTGAGCCTGCCAACCAGATGGTCAAGTGTGATCCCCGGCACGGCAAGTACATGGCCTGCTGCCTGCTGTACCGTGGAGATGTGGTGCCCAAAGATGTCAACGCTGTCATTGCCGCCATCAAGACCAAGCGCAGCATTCAGTTTGTGGACTGGTGCCCCACAGGCTTCAAGGTTGGTATCAACTACCAGCCTCCCACTGTGGTGCCTGGGGGTGACCTGGCCAAGGTGCAGTGTGCTGTGTGCATGCTGAGCAACACGACCACCATCGCCGAGGCCTGGACTCGCTTGGACCACAAATTCGACCTGATGTGTGCCAAGAGGGCGTTTGTGTACTGGTATGTGGGTGAGGGCATGGAGGAGGGCGAGTTCTCCGAGGCCCGTGAGGATATGGCTGCCCTGGAGAAGGATTACGAGGAGATGGGCATGCATAGCATGAAGTTGGGGGAAGAAGGGAAAAGGGAGCCTAATACTAGGGTAATACTGCGTGTCTGTCCTACATAAAGTGCTGTGGCCTTATTGTCTCACGAATGTCTTTTTCTCTTGGGAAAAACCATAGGGGGAGGGCTTCTTCTCCATGAGAGATAGGAACGCTGGTGTCTTAGCCTCGATTCCCCAGAAAGCAGATCTGATTTTAGATTTCATTACAGAGTGCAATTACAGCGAACAGAATGGGGGCCAAGGGAAGTAAAGCACATAAGGAGGAACAATTCACCCTAGAGAAAATGCAGCTGAATAAATGGCATCTCAGAACCATCCTTGGGTGAGTGGGCAGGAGAGGGGGTGGGGGTGGGGCTTATGCACAGGCTCTATTCTTCCATTGGTTAAAGCTGTACCCCACCAAGCATCAACTCCCCTGCATGTCTGGATTGCACACACTTGGGCTGCAGAGTCATCAGGAAGCCCTGAGAGAGGAGGAGGTGCTGTTAAGTTGCACATATGTGAAGTCGGTGGGAACCCACATAGAGCCGCAACAAGAGCCTGGTGAGTCCAGGAGGACCCGAAGCAATCCTTAATCTAGTGCCTGCTAGCCCATCCTACCATCTAGAGGCTTGTCTTCTCCAGGCAGGAGGTTGGGGTAAGAGAGAGTCCTGATGCTGGTGTTGATTGAGGCAGAAGAGTGGCGCAGTGGTGGCCATAGAGGGGTAATGGCTTGTGAGGGTTGGAGGCTTACCTCCCAGTAATCTCTGTCAACACCCACCACTTTTTTTTAGATGGAGTTTTGCTTATGTTGTTCAGGCTGGAGTGCAATGGCATGGTCTCGGCTCACTGCAACCCATGCCTCCTAGATTCAAGCGATTTTCCTGCCTCAGCCTCCCAAGTAGCTGAGATTACAGGCATGCGCCACCACACCCAGCTAATGTTATGGGTTATTTTATTTTATTTTTTAATTTAATTTAATTTTATTTTATTATTTTATTTTATTTTATTTTTTGTTTTTGAGACGGAGTTTCGCTCTTGTTACCCAGGCTGGAGTGCAATGGCGCAATCTCGGCTCACCGCAACCTCCACCTCCTGGGTTCAAGCAATTCTCCTGCCTCAGCCTCCTGAGTAGCTGGGATTACAGGCACGTGACACCATGCCCAGCTCTTGTTACCCAGGCTGGAGTGCAATGGCGCGATCTCGGCTCACTGCAACCTCCGCCTCCTGGGTTCAGGCAATTCTCCTGCCTCAGCCTCCTAAGTAGCTGGGATTACAGGCACGCGCCACCATGCCCAGCTAATTTTTGTATTTTTAGTAGAGACGGGGTTTCACCGTGTTGACCAGGATGGTCTCGGTCTCTTGACCTCGTGATCCACCCGCCTCGGCCTCCCAAAGTGCTGGGATTACAGGTGTGAGCCACCGCGCCCGGCCTAATGTTATGTTTTTAGTAGAGACAGGGTTTCACCATGTTGGTCAGGCTGGTCTCCAACTCCTGACCTCAAGTGACCCACCAGCCTTGGCCTCCCAAAGTGCTGAGGTTATAGGTATGAGCCACTGTGCCTGGACCTGAAATTTGCCACTTTTTAGTAAAGACGGTTGACTTTTTACAGTCCTGTGGCATTATGCGTGTGCAGCTTCATGTTCCCACTCCCAAACAGATGGCAAACTTTAAATCCTTTCCCATGGATTTCTGGAGCCCCTGTTGGGCTGAAGGACGGCTTAACCACTGGAGATGTTGCAACCAGGACAATCCTCACCCTACTCCAGGAGAGAATCATTTTAGAGTGTCACCCTTGGCTCTCTTCTTCCTGTAGTCTCCTTTCTCCAAACTTCGTGTCACTTCCCAAGATTGGATGCTGGGACAGTAACCCAAAAGTTAGCAACACCAGGACACTGCTGTTATCCCCTAGGGCTGGAGGATGTGATGTGATCACAGGGCCTTGGGCCTGGGACCACTGGGTGAGAGCTGGGATGCCCAGAAGGAGCAGGAAGGACCAAAGATGGAAGGATATTTGGCAGGATTTCAGAGCCAAGGGGAGACACAACCACACCTGATTTAGAGAGGGTGAGAAATACCCTGGCTTCTCTCTCCCTCTCAGCCTCAATCTCCAGCCAGTAATTCCCACTTGCTGTACCTAGACAGTAGCCAGATAGCAAGGGGGTCAGGGCAAAGGGTATGCAGCTCTTCAGAACACAGAGCAGGGTGGGCAATGTGGGGAAAAGGATCCCAGAGAAAAAGGGGAAATCACTGCATACCACCCCACTAAGTCCAACCCTAAGATGCCACTCAGGGCCTATAGGGGGTGAAAACAGAAATGGAGGAAGTTCTCTTCCTTGTCCGGTTTTTATCACCAGTCCCTGTCACTCTCATTCTAATAATTATTTTGTAGTAAGTTGAGGATGGAGTGGAAGCAACAGGATGGGAGGATTGGTTGGGGGGCATTGGAGAAGACGGACATGCTCAGCTCAGCAGTATCCTCCCTCTTATATATATATTTAAATATATATACATATATTTGAGATGGAGTCTCCAGGCTGGAATGCAGTGAGCTATCTCAGCTCGCTGCCACCTCCACCTCCCGGGTTCAAGTGATTCTCCTGCCTCAGCCTCCCAAGTAGCTGGGATTACAGGTGCCCACCACCACACCTGGCCAAAGTGATCCGCATATCTTGGTCTCCCAAAGTACTGGGATTACAGGCATCAGCCACTTCGCCCAGCCCAAGGGGTGTATTTAGAAGCCCATTTTGGTGGAATAGCTCAGCTATATCTTCCAATTCCCTTTTTTTTTTTTCACCAGAAAGGCCAACTTTTTAAATTTTTTATTTTTTGAGACAGCTGTGTCACTCAGGTTGGAGTGCAAAGGTGTGATCACAGCTCCCTGCAGCCTTGACCTTCTGGGCTCAAGCAATCCTCCTGCCTCAGCCTCCCAAATAGGGACCACAGATATGTGCCACCACACCCAGCTAATTTTTAATTTTAATTTTTGTAGGGGCTGGGCACAGTGGCTCATGCCTGTAATCCCAGCACTTTGGGAGGCCAAGGTGGGTGGATCACCTGAGGTCAGGAGTTTGAGACCAGCCTGGCCAACATGGGGAAACCTCATCTCTACTAAAAATACAAAAATTAGCCAGGTGTGGTGGCTCATGCCTGTAATCCCAGCTACTCGGGAGGCTGAGTGAGGCAGGAGAATTGCTTGAGCCCAAGAGGCAGAGGGGGCAGTCAGCTGAGGTAGTGCCACTGCACTCCAGCCTGGGTGATAGAGCGAGACTCCCCCTTGAAATAAATAAAATAAAATAAAATAAAATAAAATAAAATAAAATAATACTTTTGTAAGAAGGGGATCTCACTATGTAGCCCTGGCTGGTCTCGAACTCCTGGGCTCAAGCAATTCTCCCACCTTGGCCTCCCAAAGTGTTGGGATTACAAGCATGAGCCACCATGACTGGCATGGCATGATATTAAATCTCCATATATTTGACTTATGTGTCTTTCTGTCAACTGGTTTAAAACTTAAAAAGGGAAGAGTGTGTTACTCTGGGAGCCCTTTACACCCCACAGAAATAGTCATCATTTAGTGAGCATCTACTCTGTGTTAGGTCCTGCATCCATAAGCTCTTGTTTAATCCTGAGGTTAGTACAGTTATACCCATAGGAACAGAAGCTCTCAGACAGGCCTCAAGATTGTTCTTCATTGTTCTACTCTCAACACTCCAATGTTTCCCGGCATATTAGATGATTATTATTTGTTGGATGAACTTGTTCAATCAACATCTATTTTACAGATGTGGAGACTGAGACTTAAAGATTCACCCAAGGTGGTAAATGGAAGAGTCGGGATTCAAATCCAGGTTAGCCTTCGTTAAATCATATGTTGCTGCCCCTCCTTCCCTTTTTCTTAGGTCCCTTTACTTCCTGCCCACAGTGGTTCCGGGCATCTCTTCAGATGCCACCTCTTCTGGGCCTGCCAGTTCCCCAGTGCCCAGACAGTGACTCAGGTGCCTCAAGGGCAGGGAGGGACTGATGCTTTATACTGCCCTGCCCAATCTCTGGGATGGAAGGCATCCATGTAGAGGGGAGAGTCCCAGCTTCTGGGTCTGAATGGGAGCAGAGACTTTTTTGGGGCCAGGTTTTGGGGCTATCAGTGCCTTTGGAAAACACCCTCCAACATCTCCTAGGAGGTGGTGAGGGCCAGGGAGAGGTCAGGAGAGAGGGTAGGGAGGGAGGCGAGATCTTCACTTGCCAAGATGGCTGGGGACCCAGAGAGGCAGCTCGTCTCCCTTCCTATCTGCTGAACCAGCCACCCTACCCTGGGCAGCTGTATGGCATCTCCATGAAGCCTCCCTGCTAGTAATACTCTGCTGGCAGGCCCTGGCAGGCCTGGGTTGGACTGGGTGTGGGTGTGGAGAGATGGTAACCCGGATCTCCTGGGGCAGCTGGGAGCACCACCCAGCCTGGCTCCTGAGGACTCCCTCAGCGCAGGAAATTCTTTCATCCCTGACACTTCTAAAGCCAAGGTACAATTACCTCCTGCAGGCAGACAGAAGAGACAGGTCCCCAAACTCAGATTCCACCCAACAAATTTATTCCCTGGGCTCTGATGTGTCAGGAACACGCCCAGCTTCAAAGCTGTGCTGTCATCATTGCCTCCTTCTGGAATGCCAGGTCTCCCTGCTTGTCTCAATGTTACCATTCCTTCCAACTTAGGTCACAGCTATCCAGAACCTACCCAGCCCCAGGGAGCTCTCTCTCTTCTGGATTCTTTCATTTTTTTTTTTTTTTTTTTTTTTTTTGAGACGGAGTTTCGCTCGTTACCCAGGCTGGAGTGCAATGGCGCGATCTCGGCTCACCGCAACCTCCAGATTCTTTCATTTTTTAAATTTATTTTTATTTTTACAGAGACAGGGTTTCACCATGTTGGTCAGGCCGGTCTCTAACTCCTGACCTTGTGATCCGCCTGCCTTGGCCTCCCAAAGCGCTGGGATTACAGGCGTGAGCCACCACGCTTGGCCCGCTTCTGGATTCTTTCAGCACCTACCTCTGTCTCTTTCTATCCCTCGTTTGGCACTTGGCATGGGCTGCCTTGTATGACAGCACTTGGCTTCTTGTCAATGTCTTCTTTCCCTACTCAATTTTTAACAATTAATATGAATTTGAAGAGGTATTAGGGGCATATGCTTCAGAATTCAAAAAGTATCAGGTTTAGAAACAAGAAAAGCAAGTCTCTTTCATCTTGTTCCCCTCTTGGCAGCCACCACTGTTAATGTTTTGTTAGACTTCCAGAGATGTCTAACTATACATAGGGTGAATATCCCTTATCAAAAATGCTTGGGACCAGAAGTGTTTAGGATTTCAGGTGTTTTCAGATTTTGAGATATTTGCATATACATAATGAAATATCTTGGGGCTGGGACCCATGTCTAAATATGAAATTCACTTATGTTTTATATATACTTTATGCACATTGCATGAAGGGAATGTTGTATGTTTTAAATAATTTTTTTTTTTTTTTTTTCTGAGATGGAGTCTTGCTCTGTTGCCCAGGCTGGAGTGCAGTGGTAGGATCTCAGCTCACTGCAACCTCCACCTCCCAGGTTCAAGCGATTATCCTGCCTCAGCCTTCCGAGTAGCTGGGATTACAGGCACGCGCCACCACGCCCAGCTATTTTTTTGTATTTTTAGTAGAGACGGGGTTTCACCATGTTGACCAGGATGGTCTCGATCTCTCGACCTCGTGATCCACCCGCCTCGGCCTCCCAAAGTGCTGGGATTATAGGCTTGAGCCACCGCGCCCGGCCCGCTAATTTTTGTATTTTTAGCAGAGACAGAGTTTCACCATATTGGCCAGGCTGGTCTCAAACTCCTGACCTTGTGATCCACCTGCCTCAGCCTCCCAAAGTGCTAGAATTACAGGCATAATGCCCAGGCTGGAGTACAATGGCATGATCTCAGCTCACTGCACATCCATCTTCCAAGTTCAAGTGATTCTCCTGCCTCAGCCCCCTGGGTGGCTGGGATTACAAGTGCCTGCCACCACACCCAGCTAATTTTTATCTTTTTAGTAGAGACAGGGTTTCACCATGTTTGCCAGGCTGGTCTCGAACTCCTGACCTCAGGTGATCTGCCCACCGCAGCCTCCCAAAGTGCTGGGATTACAGGTGTGAGCCACTGTGAAGGGCCTATGTTTTAAATAATTTTGTGCATGAAACAAAGTTTGTGTATGTGAGGTCAGGTATGGAATTTTCCACTTGTGGCATCATGTTGAGTACTCAAAAAGTTTTGGAGTTTTGAACATTTTGCATTTTGGATTTTTGGAGCAGGGATGCTCCACCTGTGCTACCATGCTTGTATGCACATTTAGTATACACTTTGTTCTACACCTTGGTTTTTCACATAACAGTAAGTCTGGAAGATGGTCCATATGCATACCATTAGCTATGCCTCATTCCTTTCGGTCACAATATAATGTTCCATTGTATAGAATACCAATATTTGTTTTGCCAGTCTGCTATTAATAGGTATTTAGATTGTTTCCAATCTTTTGCTATTAAAAAGAATGCTGGAATGCTTGTATGTATTTTTTGCACATATGTACAACCATACATTCTTTGAATTGAGATTTCTTGGTCAAATATTATGCATTTTAAATCTTGCTCTCTTTAGAAGTCACACCAGGCTGGGCAAGGTGGCTCAGGCCTGTAATCCCAACACTTTGGGAGGCTGAGGCAGGTGGATCACCTGAAGTCAGGAGTTCAAGACCAGCCTGCCCAACATGGCAAAACCCCATCTCTACTAAAAATTAGCTGGGCGTGGTGGCAAGTGCCTGTAATCTTAGGCACTCTTAGGGAGGATGAGGCAGGAGAATCACTTGAACCCAGGAGGCAGAGGTTGCAGTGAGCAGAGATCATGTGCTGGGATTACAGGCATGAGCCACGGGGCCCGGCCTGTTGTAGCTTTAGTTTACAGTTTTCTTGTGAATGACATTGAGCATCTTTTCGTATGTTTAAAAGCCAGTATTTCCTCTTCTGTGAGTTGCCTGTGCCTTTTGTCCATTTAAAAATGGCAGTTTGTCTTTTATTAGTTGAGATTTCTTTGTGAACAAAGGAAATTCAACCTTTGTCTGCTGGATGTGCTCCATATAATTTCCCTCGGTTGTCATTTGTCTATGTCCCAATTAGATTTTCATCTCCTTGAGCACAGAGACTGGAATTTCAGCTTCTTTATATTCTTATTCTTTATATATATATATATATATATATTTTAAGAGATGAGGTTTCACCATGTTGGCCAGGATGGTCTTGATCTCTTGACCTTGTGATCTGCCCGCCTCAGCCTCCAAAAGTGCTGGGATTACAGGAGTGAGCCACCGCGCCCGGCCTTTATATTCTTATTCTTAATATAACAAGACATACACAGTAGGTGCTAGACAAATGTCTGCTGGGACGGGAGAGTAAGAAGAAAAAGGCAGAGATCTGGAAAAATTGGAAAGACTTAACCCAACCACTCCTTCCTCTTATAACAAGTGTAACCCTTAGTTTTTGTGTCAGTTAGGACTCTTGTAAACAGCAGAAGCTTACTGGCAAACTGTTTCAAGTCCCCCACCCCCACCAATCATAGAGATATCGGATAGCATACAGAATCAATGCGGGGGCCGGCAAACAAGGGTCAGCAATCAGACAGGAACCCAGGGAAGCTGGGCAGCCAGCACCACAATCAAAGTTGGGCACAGGACAGCCTGTGTAGGAGGCTCCAGTCCCCTGCACCCTCCTCAGTGATTCCCCTACCCCCATCCCTCACCTGCGGCACTAGGGCTGACATTTCCTCCTCCAGACACTAGAGGCCGCTGTTGGCCCCATCGCCTCCACCGCCGACGCAGAAATGAATTCCCAACCAGTCCTGCTTCTCCGTGACTTGCTCCAGATTCAAAGTCCCAGTTGGGGGAGTTTATGTCTTCTGCTGCAACTTTAGAGCCGAGAAGTCAGGGAGAGCAAGAGTCGGGACTTGGTGGCAAATGGTGGCCTGCTTCCTATTAGGGCCCGTGCGATGGAAATTCCCCAAATGTAGGCAGGAGGTTCCCACGGTGAGCAGCCAGGAAAACAGGACACTCACAGCACCTTCTCTCACGTCCGCCTCAAGCCCTTCTCGTTGGCGAAGTGCTCCTGAGTCCCCCAGCCTAAAGCAGTTTTCTGGACTCACATAACCATTTTACTGCTTGAGCCACTCATGATGCCAGTGAGGACTGCAGTAACACCTATAATAAATGTATACCATGCCTCATTTGACTTTTAAACAACCCTAGGCACTCCCTATATTTACTGAGAAAAAAAGAGTGCTCAGAGATTTTCCCAAGTCTCGCAGTGATGCCAGGTTGTACTCTGTTTCCAAAGCCTCGGGTTTCCCAGCAGGCTACACTGATGGGCTGGTATCTTATCAAGTTCAAGCTCTGCAAAGGCAGGGCTTGGGCCACATTCTTCTTTATACGGCCTGGCAGCATCTTGAATGCAGAAAAATGCTCAGCGAATGCCTGTGGACTGGCCTGGATGGGATCAAGCAGGAGCCAGTTCTGGAAGGTTTCCTAACCCTCCCATGAGGCCTGAACCCAGGAAGCATTTTGAAGTGGAATAGGCCTACTTGGGATCAGTTTCGGAAGACTTGACCATTGCACTGTCCCCTTTACCTCACTTACCCCAAATGTGTCAAAACTGTCAACAAAAGGTTTGCATGTGTTTATTATTTATTCATCCCACCGGTAGTTTTGAACCCTGACGACTGCTCAAACAGACCGGTGAGAAAAAAACAATTCCTGCCCTGTGGAATCCACATTCTAGTGGGGAGGTAAATGGTAATCAAAAATAGTCAAACCAATAAATGCTCTAATAAAGGCTCTAATAAGCCTGATGAAGGAAATGCCATGAGATGCTGTAAAAGGCAGTTTTGACCTACTCAGGAAAGCCAGGGCAGCCTGACGGGGGACCTGGGGCTGGAGCTGGGAGCTGAAGAAGGGGGAGGAGTTAGAACGGTGCGGGTGGGGGAAGGCGGGGAGAGTGTAAGTCCTGGAGGTGGGTGAGTAAGCATGGATCATCGCGCATGTTTATAAGAAAGTAACAGAGGGACCTGAGGGCCGGGGCCTTGTTTGCAGGCTGCCCTAGTCTCCGTCCGAGCGCGTCTTGCCTAGATGGAGGCGGGGCAGCCGTCTCCCAGGTCCCAGCTGGGCTGACGTCGTCCTGGTGCAGGCCCAAAATAGCCGGCTCCGCCCTCATCTCCCGGCAGCCCCTGCAGGCCCCCCCTCCGGGGAACAGGCCGAGCTGGCCTTCTCCCGGTCTCTAGTAGTTTCCGCGCCGCTGACGCATGCCTGCGCGCACAGCTGGGCCGGCGCGTCCTACGCAGCAGCCGCGAGCCGGGCTGCGGTGCCAGACGGTTCCCGGCGGGGGGCAGGGGCGGGGCGCCGCAGGAGGCCGGGACTCCCGGCGGAGGAGGTGCGGCTGGGGGCCCGGATCAGGCTGGGGGCCCTGGGCCGGACTGCTGGAGTTGGGGAGCCCCGATGGGGCTCCCGGGCCTGGGCACCGAGATAGCCCTTGGCCTCGGCCTGCGGGGGCAGATAAGGCTGCGGGAGGGAGCCTAGTCACCGGCTGCAAGCAGAGGGCTCCGCTTCCAACTGGGAGCTCCTCCTGCCACCCTGGGGGAACTGCTGCAGCCACAGGGAGGGGCTTTTGGTTCTTTCCTCCTGACTCCTTCTCTCCTGCAGCCCCAAGGAGGCCCGCCTGACCACTGACCAGTTGCCATGGCATCCTACTACGAGATCCTAGATGTGCCGCGAAGTGCGTCCGCTGATGACATCAAGAAGGCGTAAGTGCCTCCATGTGCATCAGAGAACCTTCACCCTCCTTCAGAGTGACACCTGTGGGTGTCTGAGGTCCTTAGAAAGCACTGGGGTGGGGGGCTTCCTCCGAGTGACACCTGCAGGGAGGAAGGAGACCGCTCGTAGAGTACAAGAAGAACGTCCAGAGAGTGAAGTAGTTAGTTCTACTGGGAGCTGCACTGTGTTGTGGGTTCTTCTCCAGTGGATCCTCCCCTCATCCTCCCCGCTCCCTTACCCTCCCCTCCCTCCCTCTCCCCTCCCTTACCCTCCCCTCCCTCCCTCTCCCCTCCCTTCCCCGCCCCTCCCCTTTCCCCTCCCCTTCCCCCTAAATGTGGGCATTCTCAGGCTGCAGTGCGAAGATGCCCAGGCTCTGTGACGAGGAGGGGCCGGTGTCCATCTGCTCTTCAAGGCCACATGTGCCCCATCCTGTGCAGCCCCAGTCCAGCGAGCCCCAGGGAGGGGCTAGAGCCAGGTGTTCTCACCGTGGCATTGTATCTGCTCATACATGTGGTCCTAGCACTGGGAGGCGAGAGGGTGGAATTTGATTAAAACATCCCAGCAGAGGCAGCCCTAGCATCTGGGGTGGTTGGGGAGCCAGCGGTGAAAGGACAGCGGTGGGCTAATGGGAAAATGGGTCGTTGGGTTCCTTCGTGGGAAGTGCCTGCATTTGTCCGCGACCTTCTCCTCTGCTCTCACTTTCTGCAGGTATCGGCGCAAGGCTCTCCAGTGGCACCCAGACAAAAACCCAGATAATAAAGAGTTTGCTGAGAAGAAATTTAAGGAGGTGGCCGAGGCATATGAAGTGCTGTCTGACAGTAAGGGCGGGGTCAGGGCAGACCCAGCACATCATCCCTACCTTATATCCCAGCTCACATTTTCTTAAAGCAATGCCTCTGCCACCCTAATTTACTTGGTGCCTTTTTCCAGCCTGACATTTAAGCTCCCTCTCCCACAGGGACAGCTCAGTATCTGCTCCCCAGAGTCTGGTAGGGATGGCATGAGACCTGCAAAGGGAAGGAAGCAGGGCAGGTAACTTGTGAGCTGAGCCTCCTGCGTGCCAGGCATTGGTGGGTATCATCTCCATGAGTCCTCACAGCTGTCCTGTGAGGCAGGTTCGAGCACCCCCATTTTACAGGCAAGGAAACTGAGGCACAGAGAGGTGAAGTAACTTGCTCAAGGCCACACAGAGCTGGAATATGAATCCAGGTCTGTCTTTTTATTGATTCATTCAAAAAGCATTCACTGAATGCTGACAGTGTCCAGCACTTGCTAGGTTCTGGGGAAACTGGAGGACAAGCTGGCATTGTCCTCGCCCAGAGGGGCAGAGAAGACCAATACCCATCAGGCACACACACAGACACAGTTACAGCTTGTGAAGAGTATTCCAGAGGGAAGAAGCAGGGTGGGTGGAGTACTAGGGAATAATGTGTACCTGCTGGTGATGGTGGAAGGCCTCTCTGAGGTGATACCATTTAGGCTAAGCCCTGGTGAATAATAATGTAGTAATCATTAGGTAGCATTTATTGAACACTTCCTATGTGTCAGGCACTGTGCTAGGCAGTTTACTTGGATGGTCTCATTTTATCTTTGCAACAACCCTATGTGGTAGGTGCTGTGATGATACCCATTTTCCAGATGAAAAGAGGCCAGCTAGCCGGGTGTGGTGGCTCATGCCTGTAATCCCAGCACTCTGGGAGGCTGAGGCAGGTGGATCATGAGACCAGCCAGACCAAGATGGTGAAACCCTGTCTCTACTAAAAATACAAAAATTAGCCAGGTGTGGTGACTCACGCCTGTAATCCTAGCTACTCAGGAGGCTGAGGCAGGAGAATCGCTTGAACCCGGGAGGTGGAGGTTGCAGTGAGCCAAGCTGGTGCCATTGGACTCCAGCCTGGCTGACAGAGCAAGACTCCATATCAAAGAAAAAAAAAGCTGTGTGAAAGGCTGAGTTGCTGCTAAAACTTATAGCCCATGTCCCCTGGGTCCCCTGCTGTGCCTGCCTTCCCCCGCCAAGTGTCAGTCTTTGGACAATCCTTTGAGGGTCCTATCTTGGGAGGGGAAGCCATCCCGGAGGGAGGGTGAAGTGATCTGGTCTCTTTTTGCAGAGCACAAGCGAGAGATCTATGACCGCTATGGCCGGGAAGGGCTGACAGGGGCAGGTAGGTGGAGTGGTGGGTAGGGCAGGGGGGAGAGGGCAGGGCAGAGTCTTGCAATGGATGCTCTCTCAGGCTCCTGGCCGTGCCTCAGGTGAGGTCCCCCGGCTCAGGGCAAGATGCATGACTTAAGCTTTCTCCTCTTCCTGCCTTTCCAGGAACTGGCCCGTCTCGGGCAGAAGCTGGCAGTGGTGGACCAGGCTTCACCTTCACCTTCCGCAGCCCCGAGGAGGTCTTCCGGGAGTTCTTTGGGAGTGGAGATCCTTTTGCAGAGCTCTTTGGTGAGTGGACTCTGGAAGCCTCTGAATGGCTCAATTTCCCCTTCCAGGCCTGTTCTATCAGCTGGGAGGCCCTGAGGTAGAAGGCTGGGAGGGGACGGGAATGCCACGGACAGGAGATTTTTGTGGAGCTGGGTCCAGTGAGAGCTGGGACAGAACCTCACATGTGCCAGAACCCCCGTGATCCAACAGTGACACTTCACAGACTCACCTTATTAAATGACGACAACAATAATACATTGTTAGATCTCTACAATAACAGCCAGGAAATCGAGACAAAGCATCTTGTGACAATATTGTTATCTATAAAGCAGATACTGGTGTTTTAAAATGATTGATAGGTGCCAAATATTGTACATTTCCTAATTTTCTAGTGAACCCCGAGGGATGGGCAATTTTATCCCCATTTGCAGATGAGAAAACCAAGGCACAGCTAATAGCCCAGTCACATAGCAAATGGCAGAGCCGGACTCCTAGCTGTGCCTGCCTGTCATCACGTCACGATGATTTGCTGAACTGAAAGAGCCATCTGTCCTCCATCCCTCTTCCCCCCCTTCCTTCCTTTATTCTTTATTGTGGACGGACTTAACCAGTGAGTGTTTTTGAAGTCAACATTAAAAAGGAATTTAATTGTAAATAAGCCCAACTAAAAAGCGGAAAAGAAAAACCCTACCCAGTTGCTTAGCGGGTACTTTTTTTTTTTTTTGAGACGGAGTTTCGCTCTTGTTACCCAGGCTGGAGTGCAATGGCGCGATCTCGGCTCACCGCAACCTCTTTCTCCTGGGTTCAAGCAATTCTCCTGCCTCAGCCTCCTGAGTAGCTGGGACTACAGGCATGCACCACCATGCCCAGCTAATTTTTGTATTTTTAGTAGAGACGGGGTTTCACCATGTTGCCCAGGATGGTCTCAATCTCTTGACCTCGTGATCCACCCGTCTCGGCCTCCCAAAGTGCTGGGATTACAGGCGTGGGCCACCGCGCCTGGCAGCGGGTACTTTTTTATACTTCCAGACTTAAAAGCAGGGCCCACACACTTTTGGGGTGAAATGTCTTCACCAGATGACTGCTGACCTGTTTACTTGTTGCAGATGACTTGGGCCCCTTCTCAGAGCTTCAGAACCGGGGTTCCCGACACTCAGGCCCCTTCTTTACCTTCTCTTCCTCCTTCCCTGGTCAGTCCGGTAAGTTCTGCCCCTTCCCACTTTTGCAAGCTCTGATGCCTGGAACCCCTGGTGTGAGCTTGCTGCTTTTCCAAGCCTGTCTCTGTGTCAGGAGCCCTGCCTCCAGCAGCCCTGCGAGGAGGCCTGGAGCCTCGGTGACTCCGACAGGCAGTAGTCTTCTAACCACCTCTCCTCCTCCTCCCTTGTCCCGATGCCAGATTTCTCCTCCTCATCTTTCTCCTTCAGTCCCGGGGCTGGTGCTTTTCGCTCTGTTTCTACATCTACCACCTTTGTCCAAGGACGCCGCATCACCACACGCAGGTCAGAGCTCCTTCTGGGCCCGTAGAGGGGAGAGAGGTCTGCGGAGGAGCTGTGTTCAAATAGAAAGTTGGCTCCTTGAGGGCAGGGCCCAGCCTGTACTTTCTATGCGGTGGCCAGAACAGGGACCAGTACCTGCAGGATTTTGTCACTGCTGGTGGCCTGAACTGTGCTGTCTCTCACAGAATCACGGAGAACGGGCAGGAGCGGGTGGAAGTGGAGGAGGACGGGCAGCTGAAGTCAGTCACAATCAATGGTGAGGAGCGGCTCCACCATCCAGCCTCTGGCAGGAAGCCCCAGCTGCAACCCAGCAACCTCCTCCCCAAACTGCTGCTCTCTGAACTCCTTTAGGGCTTGGGAGGGAGTGGCAGCTACAGGTCAGACTGGTAAGATCAGAGATGGCAATGCCAGGAAGGGGGCGGAGGAGTCTCAGGGAGCCACGACCGTCACCGTAAGTGGGGTGCCTTACATTTGCAAAGCACTTTACTATTTTTAAAGCACTTCCACATATACGATATCCTCTGTATTCTTAAAGCATCTAGGGGTATAAGCAGAGCAGATGGTATCCACCCAGTTCTAATTTGGGGAGCCTGAGAGGCAGCATAAATGACCCTAACTTCCAAGTAGCCCAGGCCCAAGACTTTCCTTCCAAGTAAGGGGTAGAGCCGGGAGTTGAACTCAGGATGCACGATTCCCAGAGCAGCACTCTCCCTCTATCACCATGCTGTGCAGGGTCGTCACTAGCTAACCTTTCATACCTGCCAACTCCAGGCACTGTGCACCAAGTCCTTTACGTGGGCTGAC